TTTTTAAATCTTGCGATTTCTTAGGCGAGCAGTGTATACCTTGTCATTACTATTTGCAAACGAAAAGCACGTCAATGATTAAAATAATTATGATTCTGAATAGGGAATTTATATAACTGAAAATGCATTCTCCTAAATTCTTGCACTCGATGTAAACTTGCGTCGCATAAATTTCTTATCAGTAAGTGTATTTAATACTATTATATTTTCATCTGCTCCGAATAAAAGTGGACAAATGATACAAAGTCATTCCAAACCCTCGCTTTAGAATTGTCGATATTAAATTCAGTTCAGAAATCGTGGACAGCAATTAATTGAAGTCACTTGCCCGGCCAGTTCAATCGAGCCGCATAGAAACGCGACGCGTATGTACGTCGAAATACATACATATGTACTCGGGGAAAATAAAAAATGGAAAGGAGAAATAACGAGATTCGTTGGAATGAATTTCCAACCAGCGGAGCAAGCTTCCGAGGACATGTATTTAGCGCCGGTTATATGTATAAAGCATTTGTCATAAATTACGAGAGCAGGCTCTTGCCATTCCGACGAATTGCCGGTGCGATTTCGTCTTGGCCGTTTAAAGGTCTGATTTTAGAGCGTCGTAACGCGTCGTTGAGATAATATCCCGCATCCTCTTGGTGGCAAATTGTCGCCTTTGAAAACGGTGCGACCCATTTTAGCATGTCGGGACCCAAGGGCGAAGATATCGCCAAGTACGTGTTGTTCTGCCGTTCTAGCACGTGACTAACGAGCTAACCTCTAACTTTACGTGATTCGAAAATTAAGCTAAACCTTAACGAAACACTATACCCAAGCTGTCCGAATTTGGAAACCCTGAAATTCGTATCAGATAACCGTAGACATTAATTTCTTCATTGCGGGAGAAGACAAGTTAACGTGGACGTAGTAGTATGTGCCATGATAAACTGTAAAAGGGATAGTAATTAAATTATATATTTTACGCGATAAGAGGTAATTAACACACTAAAGATATTTAAAATCCTTCCAGCTACATCTATTAAAAGGATAATGACGAATATGAAACTACATTTAGTTAAATATTATCCAACAGTACGGAGAAAACAGTATTTCTGTATTCAAATTTTCTCGTTGAGGTATAATGACTAATGCTAGGACATCTTTTTATGTACAATTCCCACGAGGTTATGACACTGATCGCAAGAAGCGGATATCAGCAAAGTGATAAGGTCGCTCACGTGCCATTCCCGAAAGAAAAGCTCTTGATTTGGGAACATTTCATTGAGAAACGATATTACATACATTGTAACACATATGTACCGAAGACAGAATGTTCGCGCAATTACGTACTTACACCCGTAGATGGAATTCAGGGTTCCGATAGGGAGAATCGAAGGGCGATATTTCCATAGGAAGATCCTAGATTAATCGAACGTAATCTCCTATCTACCTTCGTATCTTCGCGAATGTAACCTCAGTTTTACTAAATCCACTTGATCCAATGGCAACTATCGATTCGGTCGGAAGTCCTTCGCAAATTTCAGAACCTCGCGAATATTCCAAATCGATTGGCAAATGCAAAAGCGAATTTCGACTTTGAAATTTCTAAATGAATAGGAATTATTGAGGGTCCTTAAGATAAATCAATTTCAAAATAATATACCTACCCTGTTCACAAAAAAGTCGTTATACCTAAAAATAAAAATCTTGCAAGTCCAAGACTAACATATATCGTGTAGGATTGTGTAAAGACAATGACTCAATTTTGGTTTAAAGATACTTGTAATTATCGAGATATGATCGCAGGCTCCGATCGTTATGTTAAACGATGTAAGTGGTTACAAGTTGTTGCAATTTTTTTAGCAAACTGTGTATGTTTACTATACTTAAGATAATTCTACATTTTGCCCCATTCTATTTAATTAAGCTGGCCATTATTTTTGACCGGTCAAGACTTCTGGTAAGCCATTCATGGTGCCTCGAACAATTAGACCTTGGTACAATCGATATTCGCATAATCGCCGTCCTACATTGCCCTAATCTCCGAAAATATAAACCATCACCACTTGGCACAATGCCCCTCGATTATTCCCCATTATGTCCTATGCTCTTAAAGATAAATGAAAATCCCATCCGAAAACTACGATAACCAATCCCTACGTTCCGTAATAATCCGTTCATTCGTGAAGAGTTTAAATTTCGTAAAGTACCCTTCCGCGAATCAGATTGCCGATTGTGACATTAGCATATAAATGAAATCGCGACAGGGGGTGTTAATGAGAATCAACATTTTAGATTTCAAGGCCCGAAATCCCATTGTTTAGAAAGAAGGTTTTTCATTCTGCAAGTAAATTCAAATCGTATGTTCATTAAGATTGCCTGGTCGGGACATGGTTTAAGGCACCTCCGAGGCTCGTCCTTACGCCGCAAACTTTCCCTGCTCTGGCGCATTTGCATTTTGCAGAAATATTTACATACGAATGCGTCGCCCTCCTGAAAAAGGTCGAGCCGAAACGCCGCCGACTCCCACGGAGTTTTCCCTTTTCCCTTTTCCTCCCGTAATTCTCCCCGCGAAGAGGCCGGTTAAGTACAAAGTTCTGAGGTCCTTCGCTTTCGTCGTTCGCTTTCATTGATTGCCCGAGGAAAAACCTCCGAAAGGAGATTTGTCAACGTTCCTTCCCTCGAATTTTCACAAGAAACTCGCTCCGAAAGTTTAAGGCAATCCGGAACCGTTCCTCTTCTTCGATCAACATGCAATTTTTTTGTCTTTTTTTTTTCAGTTTTTATCACTAAGACGAAGAAAAATCTACGATTTGCAGGGATCGACCAACTAAGATCGATCCAACTAAGTTTTTATCTCTTTCTAGAAATACATTTCGTTCCGATTCATGTAACACATTATTTTATCCTGTTATACACCGATATAAAATGACGGAAAAGAAATTAATCTTGATAAAGGTTAACTAACAAACTTAATTGGTGCTTGAAACAAATACAAAAGCATCGATTTGTTTACACCCTGTTTCAACCACCTGAGTTAGGATGAATTATTATCCAGCTGATTTAAAAATCAAGTTTAATTAAAATTATAAAGTTTCCTTTCTGTTGAACAGGGAATCCTCTTAAAAGCCTCGTCAAAGGATGCTGCATTCGTGATTAGTCTAAAAATCCATGCATAAAATTTCCAAGACAAGGTTAAGGATTAAAACTGCAGTTAGGCAGGCTATTAAACTTGACCAAAGTTGGTAAACGATGTTTTGTTTTATTCCACCCGAAACTTCAGTCCCAAAGTAATGGAAGAAGCATGTCTGGGAAAACGAACATAAGTTCAACATAATTTTTACACGTCCGAGTTGACCGAAGTTGCTGTCCACAGCACAGCTGAGTGCGCATTAGAAAATATTAAAGTTTGTGAAAAAGAGACTACCGTACACCTGTGCAAAACACGTGTTACTTTTAAAAGTTGCAGTAATGTTTTAACCATTCGTCATGTTTCTACTAGTATTATCAACAATATTTGCAGGATTACTAAAAATGATTCACTTTCCATTCGTTAACTCAATCCTTATAAAAATTCGACGGTTTGTACCATCTCCAGAATTCAGTGTTACAAAAAGATAGGGGTAGATTTCTATCCACTTACATATACAATTCGGGTCCACCATTTTGCAACACTCTGTATATTTAGGTTAACTAAAAAATTCACGAACTTCCAGAGAGGAGCAGTCTAAAGACAAAAACATATACGAGCCCCAAAACAAGAAGAATTATTTCTCTAATTTAAATGTTTGTAAAACGCGAAAGAAGCGGTATACCTTCGGAACGATGATTCGTAACCCTTTCAAAGTCACAGAACACGTTTGGTTACAAGAATTTGCGGAACATCGAAATTACTAAGATCATAAACGTCGTAAAAAGTCATGAAATAAAAAAGAGCAAAACATGAATAATATGCAAATATATGCAGCAAGGTATGCGGAACACTTGTAACAAGTTCGTGGAACACAGGCTTTACCTACCAGGAGTCATTAAATAGAATTTCTATTAATAAGGCTTATTACAACCAAATAGTTTATTAACTATGTTAATCGACTCTTTTTGCCAGCGCTTATTAACCCTTCATTGCCTAGGAGAAATCAAGGGACTCAATACTAGCTTTTTAACATTTTTCCCGAGACATCTCACGATCGAGATCGGTATATCAACAAGTGTGTAATACGAATAATGGAGAAAAACTTGCTGAAAAAAAAATTGCTAACCTTTTCAAAGACGTAGAAATCTCCAGCATCACCCGGTACGGCCAGGATCAGGTAGCGAGATATTCTATCGAAAGTGTTAAAAAAAGCCAGTGAATGGTCACGAGATATATCACCAACGACATTTAACATCCGATATCGAGCCATCTAGCCCGGGCGACGAAAGGGTTAAGCAGCCCCCACTTAACCGGCTCATTCCTAGAGCCATGAAACGTTAAAACGAAAAGAACCGAGCCAATATTACCGAAAAATCCGCACTCTGCCACGCATCCACTTAACCCTTTAATTACGAAACTGTAGTGACTTCCGTATGATCGACGTTTTTTTCACGAAGCGCCGCTATAGTTGCTCCCTTAATTCCCATGTATTCAAAGCGACAAATGAATATCGTATTCATATAAAATTTGAGCACTCCGCGGCCGAGCTCTCCGTACAGGTGGTACATCTTCGACTCCGCCGTAGTTAAAGTGTTAATTCTCAAGCGGTAGGTAAAATGCTAAGAGCCACTGTCATAGAAAGAGAAGAGCGCTGAAAGTTGAATGGAGGCGAGTGGACGAGAGAGCGCAGAATCGGCTCTCGCTGAGCGCCCAGGAGCGAGGAGGATGCGCGCCGTAGTAGCGGCCAGTCGTGGGAGGGAGTGCGAGAGACAGAGCGGCCGGTCGCGGGAGGGAGCGAGAGGGGCGAGTGGCGGGTGTCAGCGCGCAGGCGGCGCTCACTGCCAAGGTCTTCCCTGACACCCTGAGTGGCAGAGCTCTGCTCGGACCTGGCGCGAGGGCCTCAGTGCGTGTCGCGCGACCAGCGCTTCGAATTTGCGCGCCTCGGGACTTCGCGATCCGACTTTCACCCTCGAGGGCAGACGACTTGACTTCCCAGGGGAGGGGGGATCCAAGTGACCAATCGCGATCGATCGGTACGATCTAAGGTAGAGGAAAAAAGAAAAAAGGCGGAATCGTTTGAAGCTAATTAAACGGAATGTTTGATTGCCGATCTGGTGGACGAGTGGGAAGTCGCGCGGATTGATCTCCACGTGGGAATCGAAGCGATCGGTTGGAGGGCTACGATTTGAGAAAAGGGAAATCTACGAAGTTCGGGATTAGTTAGAATCGGCCAGATAGGTTGGTATCGCAGTCGCGAAGAGATCGAAGTTCGGTCGATCGACTTTTGCGTGGAAATCGAAGTGCGGGCGATCCACTGTCGCCCGGAAATCGAAGTTCGGTAGATCGACTTCTGTGTGGAAATCAAAGTTCAGTCGATCGACTTTTGCGTGGAAATTGAAGTTCGGTCGGTCGACTTTCCCGTGGAAATCGAAGTGGCCGACTGTGGTCGGTGAGTGAAGTTCGCGAGAGACATCTTTGAATCTAGGAATCGATCGATATGTAGTAAAGGAAGGAGGGTTAAGATTTGTGGAAAAGTGAAGAAGAGGAAGTGATCCCAGTGGATCGAACCTCGAAGTGACTGTCCGCGATTAATGTCGTCGATTTCTCAGACGATGTTTGATTATCGACTCAGGTGAAATTGAATATACAGGGCTACTGAGTTAACCCGGGAGGACGAGAACGGATTCTACAAAGAACTTCAAGGACTAAGACGGAAAATAGAGTTTCTGTCAAGATATTGAAATTCCAAATCGCATTTGGCGAGTAACGACAAATTCGCGAAGCGACGAGCTACGATACGTAATTTATCCAAACCTGAGGCGAATTATCGGTGACGGTCCCATAAGGGATTTGAAACCAATCGCTTATTGAGTATTTGCGAGTCAATGGATCGAGGAAAGGTGATTTCCTAAAAGATATCGATTCAAATTCTGCGACTTCATTCCGCGGAATTAAGGGAGGACATTTTTAATTCGCTAAAAATCAGCGAGGTGAAAATCGAGCCATGGTCTAGAAAACTTTAAAAAAGCTATCAATTCGAAAATCAATCGAGCACCGATCCAGAGATCGAATTACCGAATCGGCATCATCAATTGGATTTAATCAGCGATATCAGCCTGCAAGCGAACTAATATTTCAAGGGAGCAACTTTCCAGCATGAATTGAACCGATCAATCGCGAATTTCCGATACCTACAGAATTCAAACTGAATCTCAAGTGGTTTATAAAAGTCCAAGGCAGGGCATTGGATTTAAATTGATAAGTTATGGAATAAATAAATATAATCACTCGAAATCAATCTAACAGAAACGTCGACTATATTTCTGGTCTTCGTATGAAATTCTATGGACACGTGATCGACTATATCTTCGAGTTGGTCCCCGTCGTTACCTAACCTAAAAAAAACCTGGAAAAGAAGAAAACCACGTTTACGAAACAATCATCGTTTCAACATCATTGAAGTGAAATAATTGTAAGACAGAACATCTCTTGGGAACGAAGCCAAACGGCACGCGCACGATACATCGGCGAACATCGTACAGAAAGGGGGACCGTTGCATTAAAGGAAACAGCAAGAAATAGACTTTAAATAACAAACACCGGGGGATTCTTTCCCATGTGACGAAACAATATCCCGATAACTTCGGCGTAATAGTCGAAGAGTTCTAGAAGCGAGCCAGAAGATACGATCTTAAAGAAACTACGAAATCTGCTAATAAAGATAAAACAACAGCACCGATTACGATATGCAAGGAAGATAAAAAAAGAACTAAATTCGATTCTGTCATAAGACCTCGGCGTATTACACCACTCTCCGAAACAACAGCCGAGTTAAATGCAAGAATTGACTCTTCAAGTGAGCAGTATTAAAATCTTGTGGGCCGAGAATTAACAAGGGATCGATACTATAAATAGGCGATAGAAGAACCGCCGAAAAGTATCTTCTGAAAACTCAGACCGGGGAAAAGATTTCATTGAAAGACTTGAAATTCCCTTATAGTGACTGAAATTTCCCAAGTTCATTTTGAAATTATCGATGCCCCTCCGTTATCCGGACTCGGAGGGACTGTGGAAGCTGACCTTGCGCCGCCATGTTTTCCGGAAAAGACAAGAACTCGGAGTTTCCGGGTTCTGAGGAACTTCCGGCGGAGCTGCCGATGGCTCTGTCGTTATTCCCGATGATCGATCCGGTGTTTAATCACTCGTTAGACGTGATTGCATCGGAGGCTCGAAACCGAGAATGAAACTTCTGCCCGAGGTCGGAGTTGATTGGCTTCTAACGAGGGATTCAACGAGAAAAGGCTGCCGACCCCTCCTCGGTACACCGAGGGTTTAAATAGTCGAGTTAAGCGTGACTTCGGCGTTAATCTTGGGATCCCAAAAGAAGCGATCAGTCTCTTAGAGACGATTTAAGGCCGCATCCGAAAGTCGAGAATGAACCAGACAAACATTGGGAGTTAATCGTCGGAAAAAGAAACTCCTGAGGTGGTTTATCAGGGAAAGTATCACGAGTGGAAAATCCGAGGGCTAATAATGAGATCTCACCTGTTGGTTCAAGATATTGTAGGGTGATAATAACATTTGAAGCAAGTTCAAAAAAGAAAGTCGCGAACCTGATCTGAAGAAAAATCCTATCGAGATCCGAGGAAGCAATCGAATCATACGAGAATTCGAAAATAATCTTGGCAAGAAATTCCAAGAGAAGTCGACAAATTTCGCGCAGACAATTTAAAATCAGACTCCAAAGTCTACGATTGTCAACTTATTTTAGAGAATTTTCAGGAGCTCGGTTGGGAATGGCTATAGTAGCGTGTGAGAAGTGCAACGAGGATGAAGGTGGACTTTCGATTTTTGGTTTAAGCGGTTGTAAGACCACGATATAACTGAAGCGACTTGGAATTGAAGCGAATCGTGCTTGATCCGAAGTGTAATCCTATCGAGTGAGCTTTACAGAGCTTGAAGAGTCTTGTAGGACTCGAACGGCGCTCGAAGCCATTTATGGAAAACGAAATGGGAACGAGAGCGCGTCATTCTGACAGTATTTAATGATACTAAATAGAGATACGCCTCGACACGAGGAAATTAATAAAAGAGCGGTGCTATTTACTCAGCCTTGCAGAGTTCCACTGCTGATGCGTACTTGACCTACCCTAAAAGAAATTTCATTCCCTCTATCTGAGAAACAAAAGGAATTGAACGTTTCTCATTTAAGACGAAACAGAGACCAGGCGGGAGTAATTACTTCTTAATGTCAATAAGATTCAGAATTCACCGAGATCATACATTTACTTCGATTTGAACGATCTCGCTGTTAAGTGTTAAGTGGGTTATACGAAATTTAAACCTGATAATGACTGTACGGACATAGAAAGCACTTTCCACAAATCAAGGAGCTGACACTATCTTTCATGTTAAACATAACAAGGCTAATTCGATACGTCGTGAAACTAATTCACCCAGAAAACAACCTGGAATTAGTTAAACAATAATTCGGAGCCAATTCTAAACATTCTCTACAGCATCACGTGGAAACACCTCGGACCGATACAGAACTTCGACGCCAGTGATTGTAGATAAGGCAAATCTATCTTCTCAAATGTTAGAAGAAGAGAGAATAAGTACGGCTAAACGATGAGGCAATCGCAGAACGCGATTGAAAGCGCGACTAATTCCACATAGACCTTGATGCGAACCGGAATTGACTAGGGTCGAGCACTTGATCTGAAGAGTAATCCCATCGAGTGGGCTGTACAGAGTTTGAAGTTGACGGGGCCGGTCGGCGATGACTCTTATCACTTCCGGCATTGTCCTCGGGCTGCGAGCAAGAGTGCTCGAGGAACCGGAAGACGGCTAAGATCTACCTGGACGAGAGAGAGTAGCAGAAAGAGACTTCTGAGAGCTCTTCAGGGTGGAACCTGAGGAGTCGGTAAGTCAATTGTCCCTGTGCCGAGTTGTACAGAGGAATTCCCAGACATAATTATACAGTTTTCACAATTTCATTTTAATTCAACTGACATCTTGATTTGTCTCAAATTTGCCGCAACACTTAAACCGATGGTCAAGTCACGAAATGAACTCAATTTAATTAAAGGGGCTCATATTTTTTGACAGAGAGAAAGTTCTAATTTTTCGAACAGGTGCAAGAAAAAATGAAACGTGTAAATGCAAGTTAAGCATGTCATTAATGATTCTTTTAGCGGTACTTTATCACTTTATATCAAAAAAAAAACTTTTGAAATATTAAGGCCAGTTTCTAAACAATGACGGTTTTCATGCTTTGTCATTTGTACTCACGTTGATAGAACATGTGGCTGTAAAAATGGCAACTAATAATTATGTAGAAGCAAATTTTGTAAAACTTTTAGTAATCCATTAATCAGTTAACTGCGTTCGACGTGTTTACATGTCGGTAAACCGTAACGTTTCAGTAAATTCCGCAGTCAACAGATTAATATCTTTTTTGCCAATTTTTCCATACTTTGATAAAATTATTGACATAGAAAATGAATGAAATTAGTAATTTCTAAGGAGGTACTCATCGTGATCCTTATTCTAAATACGGAATGCTTTGGAATGATCAGTTTGCCTGAAAATTTATAACAAACGAGGGTGTAGACTAAAATACGATTCTTGACAATATATCATAACTAAAATATTTTCCATATAAAATGATAAAATGATAAATAATGATAATGAACAATGTGTACCTAAAAGTATGGTTAATAACACGGTTAACTTGTATTTAAATATCTCATTTCCCTCTTGTATCTTGAAAAATGGGTAGTTTTAACATCATCGATGGATATGAACCCCCTGAAGGGGTGATGAAAATTAATCTTCGAATAATTTCTCAATGTCAGAAGCCTTTGTTGAATCATCGCTTGAATTTTTGCAAACTTGGTGCTTTATCAAGTACTTGATTGCTCGGGGTAATTTTATTAAAAATAATATCCCATTTCTGCTGCTGGAATTCAGAAGCAAGATGGGCAAAAGGAAGCTCACGGTCGAAGAATATCTGAAATAACATGAGGACATTTCGGAGTCTATTTCGAGCAATGTCACCGGCTTGCAGCTTCATACCATCCCCTAGGAAAATTGCTCCATAACCCTTTAGCCAGTCGCGAGGTAGAACCGCAGGAAATGTAACGAGTTATCTACGCAAGTGCAATGAAATAGCTGGTTAACGCGGTGTTTCCGAGAACCCGGAAATGTCCTCCACTTCCGCCTCATTCTTCCGCGTCTCTCCTTTCCTCCGACCCCGCAAAGCACAAAATCCCGGAGAAAAATCCTCCTTAGATTATTTGGGACTTCCTAGTCTTTTTATGCTTCCGACCTCGACCGCGATTACGCCTGGAAAGTATTTCGCGTGCATTAAATTGGCGACAATGTTTACCCGGATGTAATGAAGATGTACATCCGCATGTGTAACGAGATGCATACGAACATAATAAGCACGTAAGGATCATTATATGGGAACCGGATAAATTCTGCGATAATCCTGTTAATAATTACCTATTGCAACTAGCACTTTGCCGCTAATAGGCAAATATTTGTTTCAAATTGTTCTCTACGGTGAGGCGCAACAAGTGCTGTATACATTGATTGGTTTCAATCGTTTAAGATAATGCCGCGCATGAATTTACAAAATTATACCCTGCATTCTTTTGCTGCATATATGCTATATTAATTTATTATCTTCTCTGTAATAAGTATTTTAGATCGACTCACATTTGCGTAGGCAACTAATGAAACTTATAATTGTTTTACTGTAGTGAAAGTTATTCGATTCGATGGAATAAGAAATTCTCGTCGAAGATCATCTAAACTCAGTAGCTATTAAAAATATGTGCAACAATGTGTATCGATATTTTCTGTTACGGTAAAACCAAGTTTTCCAATTCCCTTCTAACAAGAAAATAATTAGAAAAAGGAGAAATACATAACTGTGTATAGAAATGCGTAAAACGAAATATTTTCACGAAATAAACAAATGACGCATAAACCATCCCACAGATGAGGAATTTGACAGCTATACACTGTTAGAAATATTCATAAAATTCATGCACTTTTAGCACATAAGGTTCTAGTAGAATTATACAATTAACGACCTAAAAGTAAATCAGTATACATTTATTACAAATTTCGATATAAACTTACAGTTCGGTGACATCATGTTAAAGCTTTCTGCAATTGTGTGGGAAAATTAATACCCTTATGTACTAAAATCATGACACATTTTATTAATTTCTTCCACATGTTATAAAATTAGTATACCACGTCTGAATAAAACATCCAACAAAAATATTACAAAATCATAGTATCTTTAACAGTGTAGCAGTAATATGCATGGAGATGAACAGATGAATTATTTTGCGCCAACGTACGAAAAGGGAATACTAATTTCCGGAGTTGGAGGATATAGAAATCTGATCTACGAGGAGAATTCGAAACTCATTTAAAACTAACAACTCCTATAGGAACACTCGGCCACGTGCGTGGATATTTACGGAGCAAGGGGGACTCCACCATATGTAGGTATAACATGTAGTCACTGGCGCAATGGTGGACATGAGCCTATCCCGAGTGCTCCCTTTTCCTAAGGGAATATTGATGGCGGTCTACGAGGAGAGTGCGACCAAGGGCTCTCCGCAATGTTCCCAATATTTATGCGCCGAGTTTAAAACCGAAATGTCCGCGTGAAAAAAATCTCCTTTCTCTCGCCGCGGTAGGTTTCTGTTATAAACTCAGAAATCTCTTGCCTCTTGACTTCCGAACTTAACACATTGCAGATTGGTAGTCACTGTACGAATTTAATAAGGCGAATTTTATGGTAATTTGATGTCTACTAAATAACCGAACTTTATAACTAAGCCTTTGAAGACGTGTTTAAAAGAAAGATATTTTGAAGATAAAAAGAATGATACAAATACTTAGAAATCTACAGTAGGTAGTAGATGTGTAGTTTGTACATAATTACTTCTTACTTCGTAGTGGCTTTTTTTAAGTCAGTGGTTTTTATTAAAAGCTTTTTACTCTTCGATTTTTAGGGGTTACTGCTTACATTAGGTTTTAAAAATTTAATTGTACAAAATAAGAGAGATCGATTAAAAAAAAAATAACCCACACACGGTACGTGACATTGACAACCGTGTATGATTTCCGTTGCCTATCTTCGGATTTTATGATCGAATCACGATGGATGTTACTTGGGACCACCTTGAAAGTACCTTCTTTAAAACAAAGAAAACAATCATTAAAATCGGTTACCCCAGGGAAAAGTTTTGCTTGAGCATAACAAATTATATGTGGGTTGAATTGAGAACCTTCTCGTTTGTTGAAGTCGGTTAAAAATACTGCCCTTTAGAAGGTTTATGACACGATGAAAGACAACTAATTACAAATTTAGAGTCCCGAGATGAGAGAGATATAAATAATCCGTAACGCGTTAATTGGGTCAAATAACAGGTGGGTGGGTAAAAAGCCGATCCACGAAGACGCGAAGTTCACTAAAAATAAAGAACTCCTGCAGGAACACTCGACCTCGTACGTGGATATTTTTTGTAAGAATTGAAATGATTCTCAATGTGTTAATTGAGTAAAACAACAGATGAAAGGATTGAAATCTGATCTACGAGAACTTGAAAATTCTTTAAAACTAACAACTCCTGCAGAAACCCTCGGCCACGTGCGTGGATATTTACTGAACAAAAGATGTCCCCACAATGTGGAGGTGTGATATAGTCATCGGCGTAATGGTGGACATGAGCTTATCCCGCGTGTCTCCTCTTTTCCAAAAGGAATATTGATGGCATGCTATAAGGAGAGAGCGACGAAGGGCTATTTTCAATGTTCCCGATTTTTATGCATTGACAATAAAGTGAAAATATCCTCAAAGCCATTCGAAAAACCATCGTTCCTCTCGGCAAGGCATTCCATTACAAACCCGAAAGTTTCTTGGTCCTAAACTTCCAAAGAAGCACCGAGTTCGTAAGGATGCAAATAATTCTTAATGTGTTTTTAGTTAAGTTAAATTATAGGTGAAGGATGCAAACCTAATTTACGAGGAGATTTCGAAGCTCATACAAAATTAGCAACTCCTTCAGGAACACTGCACGGGAATTTACTGGACAGAATGGATCTTCATTACATGAAAGTACAAGATGTTAGTCTCTGGCGCAATGGTGGACATCTCGTACGCTCCCATGTATCCTATTCCCTTTTTCCTAAGGGAATATTGATGCCGGATTACGACGAGAGTGCAACCATGGGCTCTCCGCAATATTGTTGATATTTATGCGCAGACTTTAAAACCGAAATGTCCTCAAAGCCACGCGAAAAAAATGTCCCATTTCTCGCCGAGGTTGGCTTCTGTTACGAACTCGACAGTTTCCTGTTTCTCGACTTGCGAACTTAGTTAAACAAGGAAGAGAAACTAATTATAAACTCGACATGCCGAGATATTTCCGAAACATTAATAAATATTTTATAACATACTGTCAGTTGTTAATTACGAATGGCTGAATGCAAGGAATTTTTATTTTGTCGATGATCTCTGGCGATTATTTAATCGCTTTGCTGATAGAAAAGCAAATTAAAATAATTCTGTAATGTGTATTCAGTATATAACGGTTATGCAGATTTAAAGTAAAAATAACTCGATATTAAACGACCCGGCAAGAATAATCCAGTTAATACTTTATTGAAGAAACTATAAATATTCGCAAATCCAATTAAAAAATTAGATTTAACTGTGACAGAAAAACTGTCAACCTTAACAAAAAACTCATCGGACATAAAGTGAAGCTAGTTGGTGGAAATATTTCGAAAAAGCATATTTGATGTAAATAAAATAGAAATCCTATAAAAACTGCTTTATATGTTCCATCGTGTCCATTCGTCACCCTTAATTATTCTTCAAGAATAGCG